TGCAAACACACTCACACAAACACACACTAGTATTTCCCCATCTCTGTCTCTTTCAATCGCTTCGTCTAGAAATACATGGAGATCTCAGAGGTCTATTTCTGACTCACTCTGACACTACAGTCACTCAGGCATGGCTGATGATACACACACACACACACACACACACATGAACAGACATACACACCAGGCTAGGTAATACTTTTTTATGGCATTCCCCTGGAGATGCAAAATGATACTCTGCAAACGCTCTGACCAACAACCAGAAACTTCAGATTCACTGAGGACAGAATTTTAAATCAGGCTCAGCGATATAAAATTCCTCGGCCCACTTCTTACATGCCATTGCCCTGAATTATGATTTATATAAAACTTGTTGCCATAGCAGCAAAACCCCCTTCATTGCCTCCTTTTTGTCAGAGGCACTACATTAAATTAAAAAAGGAAAAACCGTCTGAGAGTGTAACTTATGAAATACGGTTTTCCAAAAAATGATGACGGTTGCTGAGCCTGAACTCTACAAAGGGGCGGAAAGCAGCTTTATGGGATTACAAATTACTGCAAGAAGCCTTGAATAACAGCAGCAGCAAACAAGTCTTGCATCACCAATCGTGAAGTTCAATGCCACAGGAGAACAGCAGACATCGACTGATTTACTGACGATGTAAGTCCATGTAAAAGTGTCTATAGAGCTGAGTCAAAGATTAACTGAGAACTCTCTTGAAAGTGGCCCAATTATGCTATTATGGGTTTGCCTTTTCGGTAGTGTGTTATATAGGTTATTGTGCATGTCAATGGTCTGCAAAGGCTAAAATCTCTGTGTTCCCTCCAGAGGGAGTTTCTCTCCCACACACTCCCCCCCTCCTGAAACACTTCCATTGGACTCCTTTGTTTACTTATGGAACATAGTGACATCAATATGTACAAATGGGGCTACTATTGGCTAGCGCTCCAACACATTGTACGTAATTAGCAAAGGGGAGGGAATTCTCCAAGCGGTTGACCAATCATAGCAGAGCCGGCCAGCTAACCAATCAGAGCAGACTAGGCTCTGGTTTCAGACAGAGGGTGAAAAGAGGTGCAGCAGCACAGGCAGTATGAGAAAAATAAAGAGCTTTTTGAACATTAAAGCATGGAGACATGTAGAGACACTACATACTGATATACACCTGAACATCAGCAGGAGAGGACTCTTTAAAGTAGAGACACTACATACTGATATACACCTGAACATCAGCAGGAGAGGACTCTTTAAAGTAGAGACACTACATACTGATATACACCTGAACATCAGCAGGAGAGGACTCTTTAAAGTAGAGGCACTACATACTGATATACACCTGAACATCAGCAGGAGATGACTCTTTAAAGTAGAGACACTACATACTGATATACACCTGAACATCAGCAGGAGAGGACTCTTTAAAGTAGAGACACTACATACTGATATACACCTGAACATCAGCAGGAGAGGACTCTTTAAAGTAGAGACACTACATACTGATATACACCTGAACATCAGCAGGAGATGACTCTTTAAAGTAGAGACACTACATACTGATATACACCTGAACATCAGCAGGAGAGAACTCTTTAAAGTAGAGACACTACATACTGATATACACCTGAACATCAGCAGGAGATGACTCTTTAAAGTAGAGACACTACATACTGATATACAGCTGAACATCAGCAGGAGAGGACTCTTTAAAGTAGAGACACTACATACTGATATACACCTGCACATCAGCAGGAGAGGACTCTTTAAAGTGGAGACACTACATACTGATATACACCTGGACATCAGCTGGAGAGAACTCTTTAAAGTAGAGACACTACATACTGATATACACCTGAACATCAGCAGGAGAGGACTCTTTAAAGTAGAGACACTACATACTGATATACAGCTGAAAATATGCAAAATAGGTCTTATTTAAAAGGGTTAGGGTACAAGAGTACATCATCAATATAAATCAGCGTCCAGTCAAACAGACAAGAAAAAGAAATTCAGAATATAAGAGTGTCAAAATTCAAAAGGAGGCTAATCTTGATCAATCGGAATAAAATGCAAAGTGAGAACACAAAAAGACACTCAGGATTAAAGTAGGCCAGTCAGTCAGTATGAGATAAGAAATGTAGATGCCGCAATCACTCTCCAGTGAGCCTCATCTTTCATTCAGCATGTCATGTGTCAGAGAGCTGCTCACACAGATTTCAAGGTTGCTATTTATTCCTGAATGCGGCTCTGGCCCACGGAGATCAGCGGTCAGTGTGAGCAGATGGCCCCACGCTATCGGCCCATTCTGCTGTGGATTAATACAACAAGGCACGGGAGATACGAGGCTCAGATGTGACGCCTGTGGGAGTGTGTGTGAATCATGTGACTTGACATGTTAAAATAATGCTCTATTGTTTGATTTGGTAGCAGGAAATACTGCTCACCTCAGCTTCGAATTGATTCTGATGTCATAATCAAGGAAATACTGAGAGAACGAGGACTGTAATCACGATGCTTGAAATTCTTCATCTTGCTTTGTGATGGATTATTCAATTATTTATTTGATGTACTACACAGCTGCACTTAAGTAATCTGTGATGCACTCATCCAATTGCCACAGCAAATGTCCCTAAATCTGAGTCTGAAACAAGGCTCTCTACACGGCTTTATAACGCTGTATGATGATGTTTTACATTTCACGATGTAATGCATGTAATCCTTTGCAGAGGCCCACAAAAGCTTATGCATGCTTGGCCTGTCCTTTCAAGGTATGACCTGAAATGTGGAAGAACTTAATTGTGCATTAATATTGCATACTTAACACAGCCGGTGAGGTAATGTTCTTGCATTATTTCCCAAAGGGGATTTTATTTTGTAACCTTTTTTGGGGTGTTGTTGCTTGGCATTGCAAAGTGACCTTTCGGAAACATGCAGGTCTGAATAACTCTACATATCCAAGTGAAAATGTGGCAAAAACACAATTATTTTACCATGGAGGTAAAGTCATTTAAAATGTGTGTGTTTTGTAGACATATTTACTTTTCAAATGAATTCAAGCCGATGTTAACAAAGCAATTCTTACTGTGTTTATACTGGATTCTGCAAAATAAATTAAATACATGCAACTGTTTGAGGACTATTTTGATTCCTAATTTATTACAAAAAATCTCAATAAGAATTTCAGGCATAGGAATCACAAAAAACTACAAACTTGGAAATAACAAATCATAGTCGGCTACATAATTAAAAAGGCTCAAGGCCATCGGGGCATGACTGTTTAAAACAGTATTGGTACAAATGGTTTTGCATAATATGCTTACTTAAAAAAGTAAAAATACCTTTACATTGACAATAACAAATGATGTTGTATGCATCCAGGTGTGGATATACAGGATGCCATGGTGTGGAGAATAAGCTAACAACGTTAAAAAAAAGGTGTTTCCCTATTTCAATGTGACTCAAAAGAGCCTACACTGCACTAAACCTCGGCACACACCTAGTCAGAGGCTGCTGAATTATGAATTTTTTTTTTTCAGCCTCCACTTCTTCAGCAACAAAGAGAAATACCGAGAGCACACATCTTATATTGGTGTCAGTAGCAAGTCCTTGGAGAGTGTAACCGAGTTGAGGTATCAGTAGCAAAGAGAAGGCCTCTCCATAAAAGCCACCTGGAAGCCTGTGTGAGCCCGAGGCCCGTCAGACCCATACAGCTCCACCATAATAACAAACTGGAACCGTAAACAAGCTTTGACCCGGGGTGAATGTGGTGGAAAGGCTGTGTTAGAAGTTTGAACCCTGTCATTTTGGAAAGTGAGAGATGAAAGCACCGCTCCTCGGGGCAAAAAAACATTTGAAATGCCCTTGAAAGCACACAGGTACAGACGGCGTACATCCCCATCAGCTGAGCCAAAGCAAATGAAATGTTTAACTGAGATTATTCCAGTTAATGAGCTCCTGAATCTACTATATAAACAGTACACGTGTTCCTAGAACTGCATGCTGTATGAATAAATATTTAAGAGTATTGTACATCAAAAGGCACACATTTCTTATTCCACACACATTCACTCTGGCATAACAACAGGGGAATTGCAAGGCATATCATAAAATATTCCGAATAAGCAAACAAGGAGGGAGTAAAGGGAATTGTATGAATGCAACAGCATAATCAAATGCCCAGTTATCAGCAAGCCTGAGTCTTATGTTCAATCTATGTCTCATTTCCTAGTATGCTTGTCATCATGAAGGATCAAAGTTTGGAGAAAGTGCCTTATTTAGCTGCATAATTATGTATAAGCCCCCAGAACCACATTAACAAGTAAAACAAAATGCCAGCACACTCTGCGCTGCTACAGGTGATTAATGACTGATCTGATTGTTGTCGTGGCTAATGACCCGATATTGATGGATGCAGCATTTGAAACAAACCGGGTTTGCCTTCAGGCAGCTCATGCCTCCAAAGCATGTATTTTTACAAGTGGAAACAGGAATGTGCGCCAAACTCCGTAGAGAATGTTACCCATTTAAGGTATCTTTGCTTTTTTACTTTAATCCATGCATTTGTAATATCAATTAATACATTTTTGCAATTAAATGGAAGCTTCTTGTTGATTCGGCGTTCAATTAAATACCAAGCAGCATGTTTTTTAATAAAAAAATCCAACTTTAATCAAGTGTTCAGCTCTTATTTCCCACACTAAATACAGCATTAGTGAGCAGTGTGGAAGCGTGAATCAATTGTGAAAGTGAATCATTTCAATATGGAAAATAAATGCTTTTGGGGTTTAATGAAGGCCGAAAGTACAAAAATACATTTGAAATGTAGGCTTAATAGAATGTATTGTTATACCCATTAGGGAACTCTTACCAATAGGAGATAAAACACTAAATTGGCAAAAATTCCTAAGGGAGTTTGGTGCTCCATTCTCACACCAGAACGGTAGTTAAAGGGTCTAAACCTGAGGGGTGATACACTACTGAGGCCTCATTCAACACTCCTTACCTTTGTTAGCTGTGCTATTTTCTTGCTCATCTTCAGGTGCAGGTCTTGGGTATATTCCATGGCGATGCCAGTCTGAAACGACATGCTGGTTCCCGTGGATGAACTAAATTTCCCCTGACCGGCAGGGCAGTAATACTGCTGCCAACCCGACCCAGTCGCCATCTTCACGATGATGCTTTCTGATAAGAGATATATGGACTGCAATATTAAACTGCACGGCTCTCAGTAGAAACCAGTGGAGAGCTCTGGAGCAAGTGTGCGTTTTTTTCCGGCAACACTTTGAAAAAAAAATCAAATATATGAAGCCTTTTTAGCCCACAAAGTGTTAAAATTAGGATTCATTTTTGCTTGCATCCGGATAATAATACACCAAAAGGTGATTTTTCAGGTTTTTAAGCCTCAGAAACGTTTGCTACTACCATCTTGTCCGTGGACAAAAAGCGTCCGTTTGCAGCGGTCCTGTCTGCTGTCACCTGCCGGGATGTGGAGCTTGTTTTCGGGGCAGCTGACTGACAGGCTCCCGGTCGGTCACCTTGATGCTGGATGTTTTTTCTATCCGTTAAGAGTGATTCCTCCTCGCTGCATTCCGGCTACATTGACGGAGAGTGTGTAGAGATTTGAGGTGTGTGTATATGTGTGTGTAGGGCTGGCTTCTCTGTTGCCATGGATCACCTCAACAGTTTATGCTGCATTCACGTAGGATGGGAGCAGCGCTGCCTTCAGGTGGTGTGGGAAAAATCAAAACATTGACGTGTGAGCGATCCTGCGAATGTGGTGAAAGCGAAGTGTGACGTTCAAGGGGCGGGGGTTGGCTGCAAATATTGGGATTATAATTTAAATAACAATTAGGGGGAAATTAACTAATATGCGGGGTCATATCTACGTCAATGTATTGATTAAATATACGTATAAAAAAAATACCACATTGTTAACAAGCAATGTCATACACTGAACTGTCAGTCTATCGTTACTTTTAAATGTGAAAAGTGAAAAAAACTATAATATAATAGTGTTTAATCTCATATATAACGGTTGATTTTGATATTTGTGGTAAGTGTTATGAAAAAAGATGACAGGAGAGAATAATATAGGATCAGAAGTTGATTTGTAAATATGGAAATATACATTAAATATTTGTTCTGAACCTTGCCAACAATGTCTGGACTTGATTTAATATAGTTATGCATACATTATTTATGTTATCATGTTTTTAATTTATTAACCCGTAATATCTTCCATTACAAACAGTGAAATAAGAAAAAAAGAAAACACAATTAGGCATTATTGTGTACATTTTTTTTCTTTTAAATAGATTTTTGACCCCTGGCAGGTCAACCCCCAATGTTGATGGACTACATGACATTGCATTTCTTCAAATAAAAGCCCCTATGAAGGTTGAGAGAACATGCAAACTCTCACCTATATACATAATTAGTTTGAGTCATCTGGATTTAATTTGTTTAATGATGTGGATTTACAACCATTAATTTGTGTTTATAAATCACATCACTTTCACCATCGATGTGCTGTGACAACAACAATTCAACAAGTGAAATACCAGTTACATAATAGATTAAGAAAATAAATACAAAATACATACATACAATGAAAACACAGGTTTCAATATGATTATAAAACATTGTTGTCGTTTTTACATATTTTTGATTTGTCTGCAACTTTACCCGACACACTTTATATTTAATAGTTTGTCTGTTGAAAAGCCTGACAGGAAAAAAAAGTAAAAGTTCTGGTGTCAATTTAAATTGTAGAACCAAGACGGTATTGAGATCATGAATGACTTATCCCCAGGGGCTCACTTCTCAGAGATACCATTTCTATTATCCCCTCCTTTATAGGCATGTCACGGTTGTCCTGGCTGTCGAATTGTAAAGTCTGGGTAGTAAGCTTTTAAAAAATGAAACAGGGGAAGTTCGATTTTTACACCTAATAGTGCTGTCATGTTCGGTTATTTTCCCCGAGTTGACAAGCTATTTTTTTCTTATATCACAGCTAAAATGTTGATATTGAAAGCTTTTTTCATGCCTAATTGCCTGGCAATCTTTCAGGAGCGTATGTATTCCTGAGAGCCTTGATTATGCAATTCCATGCTGGTTAGGAACTGATTAATTGTATTTAATCAGTTCATAATATTTAGAGGACATTTCTTCTTTCTTCGTTTTTCCAAATGTATTACACCTGAAACCAAGAGCTTTAGCCTTTTAAAAACATTAATATTCAATTTATTTTGCAAGATCTAAAGGTCTTAATATGCTGTTACTGTGATTGGGCACTGCAGAGTGTATCTTTATTTAAAAGTATTGTTTTCTCTAATCCCAGACATGATAAAAGTGTATTTACCTGCCTCAAATTTGGCTGCATTGTTAGCATGTCCGGCTAACCACCATACTCATAATGATAGGTTGTATGCTAGCCAAGGTTTAATCCTTTAAAATTATATCATGTAGGCAGCTATCAAGAGCATAATGTTATACGATAAAGCATAACTGTATATTCAACCCAGTCTCACGGCATTTCGTGTTATAGTCACGAAATGTATTTAATCTATTGATTCATGTTCACCAACACGATTTTTGCATTTTTTTCGTGTCACACAGAACGATTTTAAAAGCAATGTATTTCTATTGGTAGTGTGTTTCGTGCCTGCACCACGTCTTTTTGTCCAGTCGGGTCTTGGAATACCAGAAGCTGTGTGGTTCATAAAAACATTTTCTTACTCAATATCTTATCCTAAGCCTAACCCTAACCCTAACCTTTTTATTTTAAATTGTATAATGTCGGAGTTTTTTTGCCGTCCGCGAGGAAAAGAAATGGGGCTCAGAGCCTCAGAATACTGAAATCTGTATTTAAAAAAAAAAAAATGTCCTTCTAATTTGTTATTATTTGGTGCAAGCACGAAACATACTACCAATAGAAATACATTGCTTCTAAAATCGTTCTGTGTCAGAATACTGAAATCTGTATTTTTTTTTATCTCTTTTTCCTTCAAATTTGAAAAAAGTGTTGGTGAACACAAATCAATAGATTAATTTCGTGACTATAACACGAAATGCCGTGAGACTGGGTTGGTATATTATATATATTTTTTCGGATGTAACTATAGCATTTAAACTAAAGCCAGTGTTTTCAACCAGCTCACAAAGCTAATGCTAACCAAATTAGCTGGCTTACTGCTACTAGATGTTATTTCAGCCCACTGTTTCAAAAATGACTTAACAATTTGAGTAGTGAATCTGCTCTGGTTTAAAAAAATAAATAACTAAGGGGCTCAGTAAAAGGTTAATTTCTTTTTAAAGATTCACAATGTGAGAAGTACAAGTATACACAGTGCACACATTTCATCATGATCACTGTTCAGTGAGGCTTTGTGGGTCAATAACTCTTTAAACCTTTAATAGACAGAGAAAATTAAAAGTGTTATGTGTTTAGGTATTGGAGGAAGCATTGGTAAGTATTCATAGAGTGCATGTATTATGTGGTAAAATAATAAAACAGCCTGAAGGTCCATCAATAGGGGGATTAAGCTCCCAGGTGCTGAAATGATTCATTACAGCGTACAAGGTTATCACACTGGCTCAGTTGTTGGTTTATATGCAGATACCCACGGCCGTAGCAGGGAGCATCAATGAGCTCAGACAAATCCCTGCATCTACAATCATTTACCACCAAGACCTACAAAGCCCCAGCTTATACACAGAATAAAACATTCAGGGACAAAGAGAAGTACAAGCCGATGACTGACAAGATGTTATCTGGTCAGCAGGATACACTTCTGTAAAATCATCTTAGAGCTAAGACTCCTTTTGTACGTTAGCTCTTTCTTATAGCCATGCTAGCAACCGACTTTGGATTTCTTTCAATGAAAAATAGTTTTAGATATTTGTTGATGAAGATGGAAGATTTTAAGTCATTTTGTAAATCCTCTGACTTTTCATAATTTAAAAGCATTACTGCCTCATGGGACCGCTATCACTTTTCCCTTCGGCAAGGAAGTGGATAATTGTATTTCTTCAAATGTCTTAGATTTGTCTCTGCAGAGATGGAACTGAGAAGTGCTTAGCTTAGCTTAGCTTAGTTTAGCATAAAGACTAGCTCTGTCCAATTTTCAGAAACAACCTCAACGCTTCTGAAGCTAACACAGTTTCCCCAAAATAACAATTAACGTTTAAATGCATATAAAGCAGAATCTGTTTAGAGAGATAACTGCACTCATGGTGTAATTCTTACTAGTTTGTACATCACATCAAAAGGGTTACGAAAGTTGATCACCCATAAGGCTTAATTTGAGAAATGAGTCTGAATTATAGGGATGTTTGGTCCCATAGGCCGGGCTATTAAACTGCATTTGTATCAGTATTCTTCTGTTAACTGAGGCTGTTATATAGGGAAAACAACCATTATTTACTGAGCCCAGGCCACTTTCCTTTGGCTTTATGTGTATGGCATTGAGGTGGAGTGCCAGGGGACCTTTATTCCTCTCCTCATATCAGCAAATCAATAAAACTAAGATACACTCGAAGAGGGCCGGGATCCTTGGCGTTCTTTCTCGGTTTTGCAACAAATTCATCTTAAGCGACAGGAACAGAATAACATCAGCCTCATGTCACTTTGTTTATTAAATCCTGTGTTTGGACACAACATCGTATTACAGTAAGTGACCATGTACTGTAAATACTGGACACTCTGTCACCAGCAATAAGGCTTATTTACTGAGGGATACATAATTACAAAAAAGGTGGTTTAATTGCAATTACCTAAAAATACATTATCTCGCTACGATGTGATTTTGACACACACACACACACACACACACACACACACACACACACACACACACACACACACACACACACACACACACACACACACACACACACACACACACACACACACACACACACACACACACACACACACACACACACACACACACACACACACACACACACACACACACACACGCAGAGTGGCAGTGTTTCCCCTGAGCCACAGGTCTGCACCCCGCACCAGGAAAGAGTCGCCTACCAGGCCCTGCAGCAGCTGTGTTCATCAGGAGAAACAGCTGCTGCAGGCGGTGGTTGGAGGGAAATGGAACGGAAAAAGGACGATTTTTAGGGAACATTAGCAGCAGTTCTGGATTCTGAAGGGAAGAGTGGGCAGCTCAACATTTGTGATGGAAATCGGAGGTGGAAGAAGTATTCAGATCTTATGGATGTTGTATTATAATCATAATGCATTACAGTTACAGCTTGAGCCAATATGAATGACTCTGTACCGTATACTGCTGGGTAGATACACCTATAATAATATATCATATAACGTGCAATTACGTAACTACCACTACGGTTTTTGCACTACTGAATACTTAATACTGTTAATATTTACATTAATTATGTGACCATCTATGTTTTTTCTGTAGTTATTGAATTGCTCTGCACTGCACTGTACAGTTTTATTATTATTGTGCTGCTGTGTTTATTGTATTTTTGTATCTCTGGCACAACAATTTCCTTCAGGATGAATAAAGTCTTATCTTATCTTACCATAATGTATTAGTTGACATGTATTTTTTATTTAAAATCTTTTGAGTAAGCAATTAAAACAAATATAGTGGA